ACCTACTGATAAACACTTGGCTTGTTTCTACCTTTTCGCTATTGTGAATAATGCTGCTATGACATTCATGTACCAGTACAAGTATCTGTTTGAATCCCTGTTTGCCGTTCTTTTAGGTATAGACCTAGGAGTAGAATTGCCAGGTCATATGGTAATTTTAACGTTCTGAGGAACCACCAAACTGTTTTCCACAGTGGCTGCATCATGTTACATTCTCACCAGCAAGGTACAGGCTTCCAGTATCTCCACATTCTCCACAGGACTTGTTAATTCTCTCTAATCTTGTTATTTTCTGTTGTTGCTGCTTTTTAAATTATAGTTATCTTAGATGTGGGTGGTTTCTCATTGTGGTTTTGATTTGTATTTCTCTAATGACTAATGATGTTAAGTGACTTTTTATGAGCTTAGTATAACATGCAATAAAACTTAATTTAAGGGTATAGTTTTATGACTTCTGAAAAACATATACACCCAGGTAACAACCACCACAATCAAGATACAGAATATTTTCATCACCCAGAATATTCCCTTGTCCCATTCCCAACCATTTTCACCAGCACCAGGCAACCAATGGTCTGCTTGTCTCCAGAGATTAGATCTACTATGTTCATAGTAGCACTATTTACAATAGTAAATACAAGACATGGAAGCAACCTAAATGTCCATCAACAGATAAATGGATAAAGAAGATGTGTGTGTGTGTGTGTGTGTGTGTGTGTATATATATATATAATAGAATATATTGTCTATATATATAGAAGTTTATATATATATAAACAATAGAATACTACTCAGCTATAAAAAAAAATGAAATAATGCCATTTGCAGCAAAATGGATGGACCTAGAGGTTATTATACTAAGTGAAGTAAGCCAGACAAACACAAATATCATATGACATTGTTTATATGTGGAATCTAAAAGAAAAAAAAAAGATATAAATGAACTTATCTACAAAAAAGAAACAGACTCACAGACATAGAAAACGTATGATTACCAGAGGGGAAAGGGGGAGGAAGGATAAATTAGGAGTTTGAGATTAGCAGATATAAACGAATATACATAAAAATAGACAAACAAGGTCTTACTATATAGCACAGGGAACTATATTCAGTATCTTGTAGTAAACCATAGTGAAAGAGAATATGAAAAATATATATATTATTTAAAAGGATATATAAAAAAGAATTCTAAAAAGAAAATATAAATAACTGAATTGCTTTGATGTACACCAGAAACAAAACATTACTTTACTTTAGTTAATCAACTATAGTTAAAAAAAAGAAATGCTGATGCATGATCTATCGATGAACCTTGAAGACCTTATGCTAAGTGAAATACACCAGACACAAAAGGAAAACTATTGAATGATTCTACTTATATGAGGTACCTAGAAAAGAGATAGAAAATAGTATAGGGGTTACTGGGGAGAGGAGGGAGGGGGATGGGGAGTTATTGTTTAATGGGTACAGAATTTCAGTTTGACATGATGAAAAAGTTCTGGAGGTGGACAGTGGTGATGGTTGCAGAACAACGTGTATGTACTTAACGCCACTGAACCGTACACCTAAAATGGTGTAGACATGTACTCAGATCAGTGCTGCTCAGAGTGAAAAAAATGAACATGTCAGAGGCAACGCCTCGGAGGTTCAGAGACAGCAACGATCCCCCAGACAGAGGCAGTCAGGGCAGCAGGCCTTTGGAACTTAAACCACCTAAGAATGGGGAGGTGGGCAGGGGTGGGGTGAGGGGGGCGAGTGCATTTTAAGGAGAGAGAAGAGTGAAACAAAAGCAGAGAGGAGAGGAAAGAGCCTTGCATATTTGCTGCCCAAGAGGAAGGTGGCAGGTCTAGCGAGGGCCGTCTCCGAGCACTTTTCGGCTGGGGTTACGGGCTAGAATTGTTTCCACCACTGCGGGGTCCATTGTCGGGCTAGTGGTGTTCGTCTCATCACAATACAAATAATTTTCAAAAGGTGCTAAACATCACCTCTTCTCACTCAGAAGGACAGGGAAGCTGCTCAGAACTTTTTGTTTTAAGTCATTCTTCACTCAACACTTGCTTTTGGTGAGAATCTGCTGATTAACCCTGTCCTCCTCCCCAGGGCCATTTATCTTCTACTACTTATCTGACCTTGTCAAGCTTTGGTTCCCCCACTAAAGGAATTTCAAACATAAGACAGCAGCTGAACAGAGATTTTGTTGGATGGAGAGCCTTCCAGAAGTGCTCGGCCTTGAAAATCTTTATCTACAGATAACAAACTTGGCCGAGTGAGATGCTTTTGGAGGAAGTCACTTTAACAGCTGTACACTTAACCCCATTCCCTGGGCAAATCCCAGCCTAGGGGCCCCACGCTCCCTCCCCATAGCAAGCAGTTACAGTCAGCATGGACTACAGCTTAAAAGGTGTCTGCCATGTCCTGAAAGCCGTTCTTGGGGGGAGGTGGGGCGCTCTTGCCAGGCCCCCTCCTGAGTACAGCTGTGCAGGAGCGCTCCAGCCTACCCCCTAGAGGCCCTGGGGATGCCAGAACTTTGTGTTCTCACAATGTTTATCCCTTGTTCACCATCCCAGAAGGAACCTCCACTGCCTCCCCTGCTGTGCTCTCCCTCCACCCTGCTCTGATTCTCCTTCCCAGGAAACACCCCTCCTCTCCAGAGCCTAAACCCCTCTACTGTGGGGCTCACAATGCCCTCCACACCCTCAGCCCTTACCTCCTGCAGTAAATGACACCTAGCTCCCCTGCCCCTAAGGGCTCGGCTTCCCCACGGCCCTCCCCAGCACTGGCTGCTCATTTTCTCACAGTCCGCTAGCTCAGGGTCAGGAGGTGGGGTCACCAGCCTCCCTGCTCCCCAAGGCCACATCCATTTCCCCTCCACTCTCCGAGGTTTAAGCCAGACCTCAGCCCACGCCCACCTCCCTCCTGGTCACTCCCCTTACTTACCGAAGACTTTGGCAATGGGCTCACAGCCTTCTCTCCACCCGACTGCCACCACCATCCAAGGTGGCCTCTGTGGTCCATCCATCCCATACCCTGGGCTCTCCGTCCCTTGATTTCATCTCCAAATACCTTCCCCTCCACTCCATTTCAGCCACAGCTTCCCATGGGCAGAACCTCTGAGATCCGGAACCCACACACCTGTACCCGCATGTCATACTCTCCCAACCTTCTGGCCCATTCAGCCAGTTACTCCCATCACATTAGCGCTTATTCCTCAGCAAGGCCTCAAATCCATTCATTTCTCCAATTTCTCCCAGTCTACCAGCCCCCTCTGGCCTTATGTCACTCACTCCCTACCCTGCTTGGGGCTCCGTCTCTTCAATCACTCTCTTGTTCAACTCCTCAACATCACCACTGTCTTTCTAACCCCAACCCTGGACAAGTCGAACAGACTTTTTCTGTGCAGATCTCATGATGGAGAAAAGCACACAGCCTAGAAGAGTGGGGCCTCCAGATCAACGGCCACACACCTCAGCTGGGTCCTCTACGCTGACCACAGTTCTCTGTCCTAGTGCCACGGGGCCCACCCTGGGGAGCACAGCACTCCTCTGACCTAAACCTGATCCATTCTCTCCAGCTCCTCGGCGGCCTTGAGCCACGTTTCCTGCTCTCGTCCTCCTACATGGACAACCTTTCCCCGGACCGAGAAACTTCAAGCAGCATCTAAACAAATGAAAGTACTCCGGTCTCTCTCATCTGAAAAGTACATAAATAAGCCTCTCTTGAGCACATCCCCCTCCACCCACTGCCCCATCTCTCTTCCCCTTCATAATCAGATGTCTAGCTCGCTGCCTCGATTTCCCCATCTCCTTACTCCTTGCCCTGCTGTCATCAGGCTCCTGCCTCCACCAGCCACAGCTGCTCGCACAAGGTCACAGGTGTTGCTCTGACACAGCTGACCCTCCCTCCTTGCCCGTTTCTCTGAGACATCACACTCCTGCTGTCTACCTGTATCTCAGCCCCCTCGTCCCATGACCCCTAAGGTTGCAGGTCGCCTAAGATCTCTCACAGGCCTTCTGCTCTCAAAACTTCAACTCCCATCAAACGCTGATGCCTCACAAATCTACATCTTCAGACATGTTCAGCCAACTGCCTGCTAAACTCTTCCACTCAGATGCCGCAGAGGCTACCGCTCAGTGACAACATGGCCAGAACCGAATTACCTTCTCTTCAACTCACTTCTCCTCTACCTCACTCTTCTCAGTGAATGGCAGCCCCACCCATCCTGTCCCAGGGCAGACCCGCACCCAGCATATAATTAAAGATCAATATTTGCAGAATAAAAATGAACCACTGAGCCTCTCTCATTCTCCACAGCCAATCACCACGAATTATCAATTTTACCTCCTACTATATCCCCGTGCTTCTTGCTTAATTGAGGCTGGCTGCCTCCTACACATTCTTCAGAAGGCTTCAGGGACCCTAACTCCGGAGGGACAGGGATCTTGCCCGCTGTTCCCACGACCCGTGACTGCCGCCACGGCCCAGACCACCACGCACTGTCCGGCCAGCCCTGTTGAGTGACACCCCACTGCACTGGGCGCTCCATCTCCATAAGCGCCCACGGCCGGGCACACAGAAGCCTCCCAGCAAGCACTGAACGGATGGAGCGAAGGAAAGTAAGAGTAATGAGCGAAAGGGCCACGGATGACACGCGATCGCGGAGAGAAGGCCGGAAGGCCCCGCGGCAGGCAGGACCTCTGGCTGTGCAAGCCCAGCGCCCGGAGCGGCCCCACGCGGCAGCCGAGCAGCCCCGCCCCCACGTCACGCGGTGCTCCCCGCGGCCAATGGAAACGGCCCGCTGGCCTCCTCGGCGGACTCTCCCGGCCCGCGCGCGGCTTCTCAGCCAATGGGAGCGGCCTTCGTCGCCCTCGAGGCGGGGCGAG